TGTTCGAACCTTGACAAACACAGACAGGATTTGAGATCTTGGGCAAATTGCTCAATCTTCTTTTGCAAAATGAGCATAAGAATAGAATCTACCTATCGGACAGTTATGAGGAATTAATAAGTGTACAGTGCAGCAAACAAGGCATGGAAACAGTAGGTGCTCAATGTCAGCTATTATCACTAGCTGTTCTCATTATCATCTTTGTGTGTAATTACTGACATCAGTTTGTTCTCTCTGGTCCTCCACCTTCCCCAAAACATAAGGTAAGATTTGAGAGAAGACATGGTCCCTGACCCCTAAAGGCCCACAACCTATGAGGGAAAGAGATAAATAACTATAATGTAATCTTTCAAGACCTGCAATAGACCTATGTATGCATATAATGCCAAAAAATAATTTTGCTGGAAGGGGTCCATATCTAACACCCCTGTATAACCTACACAGTTCCTCAGACATGGTAGACACACAATGAATATTTGTTAATGAGAATGATGAAGCCTTTCTAGAATGCTGCCTTAGGGCATCCCAACAAAGTTACTGGTTTATAAGAGAAACCACATGAAACTGAGGCATTTGGGGTCCTTTAGTAGAAAAATCCCTTGGATGAAGTTCAAGACTAATCTTTTTCACTCAGGATTCCACTCCCTAGCAAATGATGCTAGAGCATGATTCCAATTTTATAATAAATAATCGTGTATTTCTATACACACAGAAAAGATCGTTACTTGGGCCTAGCTGGGAGTTGAAGAAAACGTACTGATTGAGAGACAAAGAACAGCTAACTATCTTAGTAACTGGGTTCACACCACAAATTCAACCAAGATTCATAAGGAATTTGAGATTCATTATCTGCTGGCATCAGTTCAAGATGACAGCATCTTCAGATACTTGTTAAAACCAAAAAGATGTTTTTTACATCTCAATGAGAGATAATTATAATATATTTGGCTAGTGCCTATACTGGTATGGTGCACCTGAAGATAAGAGTCACCTGAATAAGTCCTACACATGATGCTACAGAAATTAGCAATTTCTATTGAAGCATTCCTATGTTTGGGAAAGGCTCTCATCCTTGTCTTTGTTTTTCTTAAACTGGCAAATTGGCAGGAGAAAAAAGAGGGAGGAGAATGTGATAAAACCAGCAAACCAGACTTCATTTGATCAAATTGCTAAGTATGTGCATCTTCATGATTTGATGACATCATCACACACACCAATAATGTCCACTCATCCAGCTAGCCAATGGCCACGATTATTGAAAACTTGCTACACGAGTCAGGTGTCCAGATAAGTGCTGGGCTCATGAGGATGGCCCCTGCCCTTAAAAAGTTCACTGGAGGGCAGGGACCCCTTGTAAACACACTTCTCTCCTGGGCCAGGAAGCACACCACTGCTCACCAGCTGTAGACAAGCTAGGAGAGAAAGCAGGTTGGGTGGCTGCTTCAGGAGGTGCCAGATCTCACAGGGGCCCCTCCAGGCCCAGAGCTGGAAAACTGAAAATGATCACCTAATCCAACCCCTCACTTTATAGCTGAAACTCAGAGAGTCAATATAACTTGCTCAGAGGTACAGGCAGAAAGGGTAGAGCTAGAACTGGAACCAGGTCTTCTTCTCTTAGCCGAAGGTTCCTTCCAACCTGTCACACCCACCCAGTGTGACATGCTGTCCAACCTGTCACACCGACCCAGTGTGACACGCTGTCTGCTGGAGGAGAGGACTGTTCAACATTCTTACCACCTAACACAGCCACAAGCGCCGACTCATCAGTAGGGAACGTCAGGCTGTACGTGGTCTCTACCCTACAGCGGCCTGGCAAGAGCTCTAGTTCTCAATCACGATGTCCCCCATTGACATCTGCTCCACTTCCTTGTGGGAAATTGTGCGTTTGCACGATGACGTGTCTACTCTCTCCCCCTCGCAACTCTTGAAGCAGAGGGAAAGAGAGAAAGCAAGTGTGCGAGTGTGGTGGCAGCACTCGAATACCAGAGGACTGTCACGTGGGAACAGGACAACAAAGAGGCTGATTGCTGTTAATGTGCATTCATCTGTCAGAGGCAGCGTAAAATGAACCCGGTGATTAAAGGCATTATCCAAATCACAGCCACCGTCCTGAAACGGACACCAAGCGTGGGAGGAAGAAATAAGACGGGAGGGTCCCCTTTCCCCAGGCCTGGCATCAGAAGAATCAGACCTGACAAAGACCTGCCAAATCACCTCTTTTCTGGGCCAGCAGGAGGGCGAACCCGCACTGGAGATTACCAAGGATGGAGTTTCAAAGTGAGTCACCAGGTCCCACGTACTCCCTCGGGCAGACACCACAGGAGCTTAGCTTTTTGTACCCAGTGCAAGGGGGACGGCTTCTCGCCCAGGTGACACCTCAGCGTACTGCTGTCCTACGTGTTGTGTCATCTAACCGCAGCTGTCCCACATGCAGAATGGGGACAGCACCACACACGGCACACGACACCTGCAGGAGACAGTGGGGTGGGGAATAAGATTGTCCCCTCGGAGCAAAACTATGAAGCTGCCCCATAATGGATGACATCAGAGCTGTATTAAGTCAGCCCAAAGGGACAGAGTAGCCCCTAGGACAGCAGGCCGTGAAACGTAACCTAACCGAAAGTGAACAAAGATCGTGTCAGTCAGAAGCGCACGTGCACTGAGGTAGTGGGGACATTCTAGAAGCGTCAGCTATGAGAATACAAGCATGAAGAGAGTCACACAGGCACACCCCGGCATGGGCTGTCAAACAGACTCCAGGAGCTGCGTCTGCCCAACAAGGCCATCAGAAATATCAGCAGATCTGCTCACCGTGGAGCCCGGGGCCAGCAAACACTCCTGTCCTACAATTAGCTGACCGGCTCCGCTTCTGCACTCGCCCAGCTCCCCTCGAATGATTTGCCTCCACGTCACTCGCCTCGGGTGGAATGACAACGTGCTTATCGGCTACCGCGTCTGGTCTGGGAGACTGTCAACTTAAGAAGCTCTTGGTCTAGATGTGAGCCTCTTTTGAGCTTTGCCGCTGTGAGCTAGCATCCGGAGTCTCTCAGCTTTGAAAGTGATGAGTCTGAGCTTCTGACTCTGGAACAGCTTAGCCCTCAGTGAGGACGTGGGCGGTTCAGTGAGGACATCATCTGTGCGGCACCGTGACAGGGTGTCACGACAATGACCGACACAAACGTCCACATAGACTGATCACGGGACGAGTGATAACGGGTGTGAAGGTGCCTGATAGCCTGGAAAACGCCCACAAATGGCAATTACGTTATCAGCTGGAACACGAGCACACTAAGCCACAAGTTCCCCTGGCATGCAGGACTGAGTACGGCAATCTGACACAGGGGACAAAAGCCAGGCTAGGATTCAGCCTGGCCCCCGAGTCATGAGCTTGGGCCGCACTGGCCCACTCTCTCCTCTGAGGACATCTCCTGGTCACATTCGCACTGCTGTCACCGTAGTTTCTTTAACCTCAGCTTGCTTCAGTAACTGTCCTGCTCAGCGACTCCCGGGAAGATAACACTCTGACCACTGTGACATGTGTGTGAGAGGAGGAGGCAAAAAGGACAACCCAGGTAACAAGGTGGGGACCACGGTCCCCACAGTGGTGGCTTATAAAGTCAAAGGTATTTAATAAGCTATTACAAATTTTCTACACTTTCGAATTTTGAAGGAGTTGTTTTTTTTAAAAAACAGTATATCCATTTTTTCCTACATACATCCAACCTCATAGCCATAAAACACTTTCTAGAACCACCCCTAAAGACATTTAGGGAATGTGAGAGAACGAGTTTTGGTTTAGTATGTGAGAGCCCTTTGGAACTGTCTAGAGCTGTCCCCAGAGGTGAGACGGGCTGCCTCAGAAGTAGTAAATGTCCCATCACTGGAGGTGTCCAGTCACACCTGGACAATCCCTTCTGTGAAGATGTTACAGAGAAGATTTAAGTCCTTGGACTGACAAGACAACTGCCTGTTAAGACCCCTCTCAACCATACGGTTCTCCAAATTTATGTTGCCCACTACAATGGATGTCTTTGTCTTCCATAACCTCCACACTCTCCCCCTCAACCCCAGACTCAAGGTTGGCCTTGACTCCATCTGAATTAAGAGCAACTTAGATAAGAAGCTCAAGAGGTCTTTATAGTACCACACTATGGTGCTACTATCAATAAATGTGAAACAAAGGTATTATAAATAAAGGCATCAGCAGAGTCAAGAAGCAGGAAGGGGGAAAAAAGATGACTCTCCTGACATATCCTCAATCCACCAAGCTCTTTTCCTTTATTTTTTTTAATGAAAACACACACTGCCCACCCAACCCCCAATACAAATCTGGTTTTTCCAAGACACGTGATTCTGCCACAACACACACAGCTAAGCCAAAACAGACAAGGCTTAAACACATGCTCACTTGCTAGTCTCACCCCAACTCAGAGGAATGCCCATGGAGTGGATCAATACCATCCTCTTCCTCCCACCTTGGCCACGCTCCACCCTTCCTACACACTGGACAGCAGCAGGGGCTGGGTCTTGAGGGTCTATTTAAACAGACTGTAACAGGAGGGCACAAGGGGGAATGTGGGCACCTGCAGTGGGACTGAGGGTTGCTCCAGCAATCAGGAGACAGCTACTGAGGGAGCCTCCTCTCTCTCCCCGACCCCACTGAATCCCTGTTACTTATGGTCACTTACGCTGAACATATTCCCCAAGAGCAAGACTCAAAGGTAAAGGTATGACAACGGGAAGGCGGTTTGAAGACGGGGATGATGGGAGGTGACCCCTGTCACCTGGGGCACTAGGACTGACCAAGCCAAGTTGACCACCAGCCCTGCCTCCTTCTCTGCTCCACTGCAGCCTCTCAATGCTGTTCCTGGTCAGGGCAAAATAGCTCTCCGGATAAGGAAGGGATCCTGTCTAGACACCTGGCCTAGAAGGAAAAGGCATCCCACACTGACTTTTCTAGCTTCCCTCTTTACCTCAGTTTCTGGTTCCGAGCCACTTACCTTTTTCTTCTTCTTCAGAATCACTTTCACACCATCCACTGAAACCATAATGCTCACTTTCTTCTTCTTGATGTTCTTGGCTTTAAATTCATACTGCAAGGGAGAAGAGAACAAAGAAGTGCAGTCCGATTAGATGAGTGCATCTGCACAGCCCCAGCTAGCCTGTGGCCCGGAAAAGAGGACCACAGACAGGGCTGGGGTGGTAGCACAGCTCCTGGGGACAGGGAGCACCTCTGGGGATGTAAACGCAGGTGGATGTCTGCAGACAGGGTTCAAGCCATCTCTGGGTTAGAAAACGGACTCTGAACACTTAATTCTACCTCTCAGCCATCAGGTAGGGACACAGGGATGGACCTAATCCATTTTGACAAGATGAAAATATAGACTGCTTTGAAAGTCTCATTGAAAAATCAGAACAATGGCTTGAACCTGTCATGCCAGCACTTTGGAAGGCCAAGGAGGGAGGACTGCTTGAGGCCAAGAGTTTGAGGCCAGCCTGGCCAACACAGTGAGACTTCATCTCTACAAAAAAAATTTTAAAAATTATGGCTGGGTGTGGTGACTCATGCCTGTAATCCTAGCACTCTGGGAGGCCGAGGCGGGAGGATTGCTCAAGGTAGGGAGTTCGAAACCAGTCTGAGCAAGGGCAAGACCCCGTCTTTACTATAAATAGAAAGAAATTAATTGGCCAACTAATATATATAGAAAAAATTAGCCGGGAATGGTGGCTCATGCCTGTAGTCTCAGCTACTTGGGAGGCTGAGGCAGTAGGATCGCTTGAGCCCAGGAGTTTGAGGTTGCTGTGAGCTAGGCTGACACTACGGCACTCACTCTATCTAGCCTGGGCAACAAAGTGAGACTCTGTCTCAAAAAAAAAAAAAAAAAAAATTAGCTGAGCGTGGTAATGCACGCCTGTAGTCCCAACTACTCAGAAGGCTGAGGCAGGAGGGTCCCTTGAGCTTAGGAGTTCAATGTTGCAGTGAGCTATGATCGTGCCAATGCACTCCAGCCTGGGCAACAGAATAAGACCCTGTGTCTTAAAAAAAAAAAAAAAAAGTCAGAACCTTCCATCAATAACTCATTATACTATTTAATGACTTCCAAGTGGAAGTGTCTAACCAAATGCTACAGAAATTCCATTTCATCCTTGAAGATTAAGAAGAGCTGAACCTGTTTTTTGCATTAAGTTTTTTGTTTTTTTAACATATTAAGAGATAATTATGAATCCTAAGTTATTCTCTACAAAAGTTCAGTTCCCAAATTCCTTTATCTGTGAATCAGTCTGCAAGTCTACCCAGGCCCGACCAGACTGAAGATTTGGTGGCTGGAGGAGATCCTAGAAAAGATATGACCAACGATAGTTACAAGGGAAGACAATGCCTCACAAGCCCTGTATTTTCAACTTTTATTTGCAGTCCTGACAAGGCTGCTCCAACCATGGCCCTGCACTGCTGATTGATACTGGCCTTATCCTCGATCCCAGATCTGTTACATTTGCTCCTCCACGGCCACTTCTCATGCCGTGTAGCTGTCCATAACTGGTGGTATAATTCTACGTTTTCCTAAATGAACTTCATTTTGAGTGCTTCTCCAGTTTATTAAAACCATTTCACATCTGGTCCACATCTTACTATCACCACCTATCAGACTTAACTAGCAAGCTCTCTAATCAAACATCTGGGCTGCAGACTAAAAAATAAGACGCAGTGCCAACCTACAGCCCCCTTTCTCTGAGTCCTTTATGCTGAAGACCTTTCTCCTACCATGTTACCACCCACGCCTGGTAATAGGCACCCAGCTCCTTGACCATGCATCTGCAACCTCCTTCTATAGTTAGGGTGCTGATAGGAATGAACCTAATCCATCCTAACGGGATAAACACATAGCCTACTTTGAAAATCTTATAAGAACTCCATAACTTGCACTTGGCCATGACTTTTAACCCTCTAATGTTAAGAACCCAACTTAGAACTCCCTACTGTCAAAGTCTAACCCTTCTACTAAAATCTCATCGATCTTATCTGTTGGACAGAGTTAGCATTGATGCTCCTTGGCTGTCTGGTTCTTATAGACAAGGATACGACCTCACTAACTGAGGTAAAATATCTTTCTTTATGTATGTCAGGGCAGACTTTGGCTGATCGCTGATTTGAGTCTCCAGGTAAAGGCAACCTACGTCACTCCCCAGCCTGGCAGCCACTTCTCCCTCCTCCACTCTGCCCTGTCAACAGCTCTCCTTGTTATCAAGGGGGCCTGGAAGAAGAGAAAGCAAAGCAGCAAACAGGAGACAGAAGAAAACTCTGCTTCAGCACGGGAACCCAAAGCCAGGTAAGAGTGAAGAGTTAAGGGGGGAAAGAGGGGTGCATCTGGTAGGATGGGGAGGAGAAGAGCTCTTTGCACTGGAGTCTGGCTTAGGACAGGACCTCAGCCACATAACACATTCCTCTCCAGCTCAGCAGCCACAGACGGTGAAGGCTGGAGTTGGTCTGATTGGCAGGCACTTGGGACACGGCTCCAATTCACAGCATGCCGTCCTGACTGCGGCATTCTGCTCAACTGCAGTGCTAGATGAACTAAAATGACCTCGGGGTGGGAGAACCGGCATGGGAATCTGCAAGTTGCTGACTTTGGCCTTGTGCCTACCGGGAGGGGTGAACCAGCTACACTTCCTGACCACACCTGCATTTACCTCCTCTCACTTGGGCTTTAATAAACACAACCTTCCAGCTGTCCCTCCCTTCTGAACAAGCCACTAAAACCAGGGCTGCTCCTGCCAGCCAAAGGAGTAGAGAGTGTTTTGATGAACTCAGGTGGAAGTTAAGAGCATAGGAGAATCCCAGAGACACCCAGAGGAGAACAATAATTCAGGCCTATACAGGCCGATCCTCCACTGTTTCATTCTTTGGTCTCTTCTAATATGCCACACTTTGACAAGCTCCAAGTACTTTGGTCTCTTCTAACATGCCACACTTTGACATGCTCCAAGTACTTCTTTTTTCTAGCAACAAAATCAAAGCAGAAATATCAAGCACCTAGCTCCACAAGGCACTAATATCATTCTCCCCAACCCTAGTTTTAGAGAATATACTGCCTGCTATGCCATAACATTAAATGCCTTACATTTCTGGAAGAATCTTATAGTTGCCTATATCTTTCTGTCTTGTTTGGTCTACCTCCCAGTTGGTTTCACTCTCCCTGGGGCCTTTATTTAATCAAGATCCCTCACCCAAGCTTGGCAAGAGGGAGGCTCCTACCCAGGTCCCTTGCTTATGTATTTCAAAGCATGACTATTTCTACAGTTAGTGTTTTGACAAGCTTGGCCATGCCTTTTAATACCTTCACCTTAAAAACTCAAAAATGTAATTAAACTTTCTCTTTGGAACTGGAAAACCACAGCCTCTAATTCGATCACCACGCACATACTCCCAAATGGCTCTCACAGGGTCTGTGTGCACAGTGGCTGCAGGGAAAAGCATGACCAAATGATTTCTCCCAGAATCTCAATGACAGTGAAAAGACAGGTGTTCCTTACAAAAGCTGGCGGAATGCTCTGGAGTGCTTCAAAATGGAGAGGAAGGAAATAGACCTCCAGGTCCCATTGCAGCTGCCAGTACTGAGTGCTGTTTGTCATGGTGCTTTGGTTGGACACACTTTGCATCTGCTCTACCTGCGTCCTGGTCAGATGTCCCATACCCTTTGCAACCAAGAACTGGAATTAAATTGCAGGCCTGCTGGTAACTACAGAAACGAAATCAAGTGTCTGAAGATACTTAAGTACTTATTATCATCAAACCATTTGTTTATATGGCAAGTATGCTTCACTTGGACAACATGCTATTGTGCTCAATGGGAGGAGAGAAAGTGAATTTGGACAGAGGGGAGACAGTGGAGTGACCCTGAGAACAAAGAGGAGAGGGGGCTCTCAGGGACAAGTCCTCCTTTGTCCCAGGCTGTGCTGTTCCAAAGTGGAGTGCTGCCTGGGCAGGTGGGCTCAGAAGGAAGCATCTGTGTTCTGCAGGACAGGAACCCAATCTGCTCAGGCTTTGCCAGGGGCTGAAGAACAAACAGGACTGCTGGTGCCACCGTCTGTGGCTCAGGCCAGCCTCTTACAAAACCCGTGCCAGCCCTGTAGTGTGTGCCAACAGGCCTGGCCCTTCCCCCAACATGGCCCAGTTGAGCTGACACATTTGCTTTACTAGCCAAAGCCCCACCAGCAAGGACAGATTAAGCCCTACAGGACTCAACCTTTTAGGACACAAAACAATGCAAGTCCTGGAATACCAACTGCAGACTGGAAAGACCAAGGGAAAGTGTTTGGGGTTCGTAAACAGAGTCTCGAGACCTTGTTTTGGAATAGTGGCTCTGGAACTTAGTGTGCTGTGCCAATCAGTGAGGACCAGGAAGGGGAAGCTGGGCAGTGGACCCAACAGGAGCCAGGAGTAAACACTCAACAAGGGACATGAGTAAGAACGTGGGCTAGAAGTTGTATTGCTGCTGACAGATTAGCAGCCTAGTTTCCCATCACCTCCTCACACTGCAGTGTTTCCTTCTTCCTGACTCTCCAAACCACCTCCTAAACCCATGCATCTCAGTCCCAGGCACGGGGCATCTGAGAAAGAGAAGCAGGAGGTCTGCAAGAGTGGATTGGGTGAAAAAGCTGAGATGGGCATCTAAGGAAGGGACCTAGGCTTGAGGCTGTGCTGCAGAAACAGAAGGAATGGAATTACTTTCTTAGAGTCAGGGATGGGCCGGGGAGTGGGGGACTATCTGATGTTCCCCCCCATTTAATAGTATATTTTCACTAGTAGCTCCCTGAAGAATCCCTAGATGTTTGATAATACCTGATTTTTAACCAAAATGTACGTGTGTGTGTAAAACATATATATATATATTATTTATTTATTTATTTATTATTATTATTTTTTTTTTTACAGGATCCTTAGTTTCTTAGTCACCTTGGCCAGTAATAATTTGGCTAGTCATAGATTTTCTCATGCTTCAGAGAAAGCAGGTCTCCTCATTCTTAATTATAAAATTCATTTTGCCCAGCTCCTTCCACTGTTCCCGCAATGCTTTAAGATGTGAGCCAAGAC